GAGAGAGACTAGAATGATCAGAAGAGAAGGATCAGGTAGGGAGAAGGGAGAGAAGCCGATGCTTAGGGAGTTGACTGTGACACGACCGAGATCAAAGAGGAAAATTCCGCCCAAATTCTGGCGGTGGTTCTGGCGGAGAGTGAGGCAACAATAGTGACACCAAGCTAGGATAAAATGGTTGTGGTGCAAAGAGGGGATGCAATGATGGAGAAGGAAGTGGGAGAGAAGATTAGAGACTTGATTGAGGAAGAAAATTCAAGATGGGTCCTTCAGAAAATTCAACAAATTAGTAGTATGCTTCGGATTACTTTTGATGGAATTAGAGAAGCAAACTATCGAGCTTTTTAAGGAGATAGAGAAAAGAAAAAAGGAGAAAGTTAGAGAGAAGAGGGTGAAAGCAAAGCAAAAAATAGACAGAGGGTGCAGAGTTCTAAAGGATTGAGAAGGCTGAAATCTATCATTAATTATGACAATCCGAGGAAAAGGAAAAAGAATGGAGAGAGCATATCTGAAAATGCTTAATTCATATTTGGTCACATCATTTTTTAGAATGTTAAGGGAATAAATGACCACAAGAGGAGATATGTTACTAAAGGTTATATGAATAAATGGAAACCTGACATGATTTGCCTTCAGAAATCTAAGATGGAAAACATTTCCAACAGGATTATCTAAAGGCTCAGGAAGACTAGGACAATAAGTTGGAACGATCTACCCGTAAAGGGGAGCATCTTGAGGGATATTAGTTCTATGAAAGGAGAAAGTTTTCAAATGTTAGGAGATGATGACGGGAGAATTCTCTATTTAATGCCGGTTTGAAGATCATAAAAATGGGTGAAAATGGGTGAAAATGGGTGTGCAGTGAGGTTTAGAGCAGAGGCTAAAAGAGAGGATTTCATTATGGAAGGACTTGGAGGACTAGAGTGAATTTCAATATGTTCTTGAACAGATATAAAAGGTCCGGAGAACACTTCTCGAGGGTTTGCACAGAAGAATTTAAGGAAACTCTTGATAGATTTGAATTACTGGATTTATCTCTTATGGGAGGCAAATGGACTTGGTCCAATCAGAGACGCCATCCGCCTTGTTCAATAATTGACAGATTTTTTGTGTTAGTTTTCTACCAACTATAACTAACGAGTTTATGCCAAAAACTTCAGAAATGGACCATTTCTGATAATTTCCCAATTTGGCTTGTCTCAGATGGAATCAAGTGGAGTTCTTGTTCATTCAAGTTTGAAGATAAATGGTTGAAAGTTAATGCTCTTTCTGAGCCACTCTTTGATGGACTCATTATCCCAAAAAAAAAGGGATCCTTGAGGGACTCATGCAATGTAGAGGGATAAAGCACTTGGTCCCTATGGTCTCAACATGGGTTTCCTACAAAAATTTTGGCATGTAAAGAAGAAGGTTCTTGAGCTTTTTAAGGAACTGCATCTGGATCCTTTGTTAAATCCTTAAACACTTCTTTCTTGATTCTCATTTCTAAGGTGGAGGGGCAGCAAAATATTAAAGATTTCATACCTAGGAGTGTCTATAAACTCATTGCGAAAGTATTGGCTAAAAGGAAGCCTAAGGTGATGGACAAAATAGTTGGCAAACTCATTGCGAAAGTATTGATTAGAAGGATGGTCAAGGTGATGGAGAAAGTAGTTGGTG